TTTTTTATCTTTTAAAAAAGCAGATTCACTTCATTTTAAGACTACTGCTGTATTGATTAAGGCCGTGTAAGATCACGTGTGAACTTAAATTGCACTTTAAGACCAAATCTAGCCCACTAGTGCATGCCACGTACATGGAAAGGACATAATGAAAAATAAATGTCTTTCCCCGAAATGTCCAACAATATATGTACATGTAGGTTGGTTGATAGTCGATTGCGTCTCTTGTTATCAGGTTATTATCTTTGCTTAATTGAAATTTGCCACAAATAAAGAAGACTGGTCAAAACCACACCGTGCAGGATACTGTTTCCGCACTAAACGTATTACACGCAGCTGTCCCTATTTTATCTGTATAGATAAAATGCTTCAAAATGAGATCATTAGTTGTTTTAAAGAATGTCAACCTATCTTTGTAAAGTCTTTGCTTGGGTTATTAATTACAACGTGTTATTTCAAGTTACACAGAATTACTGTTTGCACTTGGATTAGCCATGCACCGTTATCAATCTGTTCTCTTTGTCACGAATGCTATTCTTGCAACATTCCAGCAAAGATATCCAGTCATCTCCTGCAAATCTCTTGCAAACTATCTGTTGAAAATATCACGGTCAGTGGACATCTTTGGGCCATGATACTAACCCTATTGACCACATGTGAGATGATTTGGAGCATGCAGTGCAAATGAAGATAAACAAAATAATAATATGGAGCAACTTCACCTAGTTCTTCATGAAAATAGGACAATATTCCACAAAACAAGAAATAATACGTACTTCCCGCCTTTGAAAATGTCCCAAAGACACATTTTTTGTGTCTATATGTCCTGCAAACTTATCTTCCCAAATTCATATTTTAAAAATGCTAAAACTCAAATAAAGGTAACGGGTGTTAGTATTTCTTTCTGAAATGCACATGAACTTGTCGTTGTGTAAGAGATTGTCTTGTTATTAAAATTTCACTGAATTGGGAACGACATAAAGCATCGAATGGTAAGTGGAAGGAAGTTTCGAGCAACGTTTGATATCTCAATCATGCCGGGTAATTTCAAATAA